CTTCCAGCTTTTTTCTTTTTGCTTATGTGGTGCTGAGGAATCAAACCCAGAGACTCATGCATGCAAGGAAAGTGCTCTACCATTGAGCCACCTTCCCAGCCCATCCAGATATATTTTAGATATGAGACCCTTGTCTGTTGTATGGCTAGTGAAGATCCTCTCCCAATCAGTGGGCTTTCTATTGATCTTGCTAGCTACGTCCTTTGCCATGCAGAAGCTCTGAAATTTCATGCAATCCCATTTGTCCAACCTTTCTTGGATTTGTTGTGTTTCTGGGTCTCTATTAAGAAAATTTTGGCCTGTGCCAAGGAGACCTAGGGTTTCTCCTATTCCATCCTGTAATGTTTTCAGAGTGTCTGCTTTGACTCTGAGGTCTTTGATCCATTTGGAGTTGATTCTAGTGCAGGGTGATATATAAGGATCTAGCTTTAGTTTTCTACAAGTAGTTAACCAATTTTGCCAGCACCATTTACAGAAGATGCTGTCTTTCTTCCATTCTATTTTTTAGCTCCCTTATCAAGGGTTAGATGGCTATAGGTGTGTAAGTTCATTTCTGAGTTTTCAATTCTATTACATTGGTCCTGAGGTCTGTTCTTGTGCCAGTACAAAGCTATTTTGATTACTATGGCTTTGTAGTAGAGTTTGAAATTTGGTATTGATATACCTCCAGCACTGTTCTTTCTGTTAAGGATCATTTTTGCTATTCGGGGTATTTTATTGTTCCATATGAATTTTTGGATTGCCTCTTCTATTTCCTTGAAGAATGATGTTGGAATTTTGATAGGTTTCACATTGAATCTGTAGATAGCTTTGGGAAGTATTGCCATTTTCATGATGTTGATCTTTCCAATCCAGGAGCATGGGAGGTTTTGCCACTTTTTTTTTGTCGGTCATGGGGCTTGAACTCTGGGCCTGGGTGCTGTCCCTCAGCTCTTCAGCTCAAGGCGAGCGCTCTAGCACTTGAGCTACAGCGCCACTTCCGGTTTTCTGGTGGTTTATTGGAGATAGGAGTCTCAAGGTCTTTCCTGCCTGGGCTGGCTTTGAACCGCGATCCTCAGATCTCAGCCTCCTGAGTAGCTAGGATTACAGGCGTGAGCCACCAGCGCCTGGCTGGTTTTGCCACTTTCTAAGTTCTGTTTTGAATTCCTTTTTCAAGTTTTTAAAGTTTTCATTATAGAGGTCCTTCACTTTGGTTAAGTTAATTCCTAGGTATTTTATGTTTTGTGTGGCTATTAGGAATGGAGTTGCTTTTCTAATTTCTGCCACACTTTTCTCATTGTTGGCATACAGAAATGCCAATGATTTTTGAGGATTAATTTTATACCCTGCTACTTTGCCTAAGTTTTGAGTCAGCTTGAGTAATTTGGGAGTAGAGTCTATGGGATTCTTTAAATACAAGATCATGTCATCTGCAAGGAGGGAGACTTTTACTTCTTCTTTCCCTATTTGGATCCACTTTATGTTTGCATCTTGTCTTATTGCTGTAGCTAGGCATTCTAATACTAGATTGAAGAGAAGTGGAGAGAGTGGACATCCTTGTCTCATTCCATGAGTTAAGAGTTAATGGCTTTAGTTTTTCACCATTAAGTATAATGTTGGCTGTAGGTTTGTCTTATATAGCCTTTATTGTATTGAGGGATGTTCCATGGATTTCTAATTTTTCCAGAACCTTCATCATAAAGGGGTATTGGATCTTGTCGAATGTTTTTTCTGCATCTATTGAGATAACCATGTGGTTCTTATCCTTGTTCCTGTTGATGTGATGAATTATGTTAATTGATTTGCATATATTGAACCAGCTTTGCATTCCTGAAATGAATCCTGTTTGATCGTGGTGTATGATTTTTTGGATGAATTATTGAAGTCAATTGGCCAGAAATTTGTTGAGAAGTTTTGCATCAATGTTCATCAAAGAAATGCGTCTATAGTTTTCTCTCATTGATGAGTCCCTGCCTGGTTTTGGGATGAGGGCTATGATGGCTTCATAGAATGTGTTCGGTAGTGAACTTTCTCTTTCAATTTCATTGAAGAGTTGCAGAAGTATTGCTGTGAGCTCTGCTTTGAAGGCCTTGTAGAATTCTGCTGTAAAACCATCTGGTCCTGGGCTTTTCTTAGATGGGAGGTCTCTTATTGCTCTTTCTATTTCAATGCTTGATATGGGCCTGTTAAGATGGTTTAACTCATCTTGCTTTAGTTTCGGCATGTCCAAGGTCCATTTCTGCCAAGTTCTCAAACTTATCAGCATAAAGGTTTGAGAAGTATTCCCTAATAATATTCTGAATCTTCGTAGTTTCTGTGGGGATGTTTCCATTCTCCTCTCTGAGTTCATTTATTTGGGTGTGTTCTCTTCTTTTTCTGGTAGGATTTGCTAAGGGTCTGTCAATTTTGTTAATTTTTTCAAAGAACCAACTCTTTGTTTTGTTGATTCTTTCTATGTTTTTTTTTGGATTCTAATTCATTTAATTCTGATTTAATTTTAATTATTTCTTTCCATCTACTGGATTGGGGTTTATCTTGCTGCTCTTTTTAAAGGAGGCTCAGATGTCTCATTAAATTGTTGGTTTCAGATTTCTCCAATTTGTTGATGTAGGAACTCAGAGCTATAAACTTGCCCCTGACTACTGCCTTTGCTGTGTCCCAGAGTAGCTGGTTATTTGTGTGTTCATTTTTGTTAAATATCATGAACATTTGAATTTCCTTTCTAATCTCTTCCATGACCCACTCATGATTCAGCAGTGTGTTGTTCAGCCTCCATGTGTGACAGGACTCTTTGGTGGCTTTTGGTGTTGAGTTCTAATTTTATTTCCTTGTGGTCTGAGAGAATGCAAGGTATAACTTCAATGTTTCTGAATTTGGACAAGTTTCTTTGTGGCCTAAAATGTGGTCTATTTTGGAAAATGTTCCATGTGCTGCTGTGAAAAACGTGTATTCTGATGCTGCTGGGTGAAATATTCGGTAGATGTCTGTTACATCTAGTTGATCTATGCAGTTGTTTAGATCTGCGGTTTCTCTGTTGAGTGTTTGCTGAGTTGATCTATCTTGTGGGGAAAGTGGTATGTTAAAGTCCCCAACAATGAATGTCTTTGGATCTATGTGAGATCTGAGGGAAAGTAATGTTTCTTGGATAAATGTGGGTGCTCCATTGTTTGGCGAATAAATAGAATTGTAATATACTCCTGAAGGAGAGATCCCTTAATTAGTATGTACTGACCTTCTTTATCTCTTCACACAAATTTTAATTTGAAGTCTATTTTATCTGATAGTAGGATTGCAACTCCCACCCATTTATGGGTGCCATTTGCTTGGTAGATTTTGTTACAGCCGTTCACATTG